AGTATAAAGAAGTGACAAGGGGTGAGGCCAGGAGCCCTGTGAGGGTGAGGCAGCAAGGCCCTCGGGGAAGACCTGCTGCAGGGAGGGACAGGCAGCAGAGGTGCCCGGCCCCATCAGCAAATGCCCAGCCCCTGGCTGTTGTGGAGACCTCTCCCTTCAGTCACCCCTCAGAGCCAGGCACAGACCTGCCCGGGCGCACCCACACGCTCCACGAGCACGAGTGGTCTCCGTGACAATCCTGACAGGGCTATTTCTGTGCCACCGTGTGCTCCAGCCCCACGCAGGGGCAGCGGGACCCATCCTGGACACCAGCACCAGGTTGTGCCAAGTCTGTAGATGGAGCTCCAAGGGCCCTCCACCCCGGCAGGTCCTTGCCTCGCTGCTGGGGCAGCACAGCACTGGTTTTGCTGCTGCTGTCTGTGCTCAGGGCCTGTACAGGGCCCCCCACTATTCCAGACCGACTGGGAAGGCTGGGTGAGCTGTTCCCCTGCTGCTGCTGCCAAGCAGGGCTGCCCACCCGCAGCAGCCTGGCCTGGGCAGGGATCTGCAGAGCACCCAGCTGTTGGGAAGGCACAAGGATCACCCACCCACACTGCCCCACTCAAGGTGGGCTGCAGGGCCCTGAGCAGCTTCCCCCACCTCAAGAGCATCACGTACCCCAAGGGACGCTGCCTACCTACCTTGCTGGCTTCCACGGTCTTGCCCGTCTGCTGGGAGAGGACGGCAGCGTACTCCGCCTCGGTGAGCTTGCCAGTGCTCAGCCCGATCACTTGGCCTGTGTACTCCTCCGGGGACTTCAGCAGGCACAGCACAACAGGTCCCATGTCCTCCACCGCCATCCCATCCATGGGGGTGTCCCCCATGGGCAGTGCTGTACGGGAGAGATGGATCCCAGTCAGAGCACAGCCCTGCCTGAGGGAGCCCGGCTCCAAGGAGGGACAGACGGAGTTTTCAGCACCCAGTCTCTGAACATGAGGTGAGGAAGAGCCCAGAGCTCCCATCAGCATGGTGAGCCATGAGAGCACCTGCAGGGCTGAGCTAAGAGACTCTGAATGGCCAGAGCAGCACCGTGACTCACCTGGATCTGCAGCTCCACATCTGACCTCCAGCGTCCCAACTGCAGGGAGCTGGAGGATCCAGAGACACTCTGGGATCTGCAGAGCAGCTCTGAGCACCAGAAACAGAATCTCACTTATTTCAGTGTCCATAAATATCTGAAATGTGGGGGCCAAATGGATGGGGCCAGGCTTTGCTCAGTGGTGCCCAGTGACAGGACAAGGGGCAATGGGCACAAATTGGGACACTGGAAGTTCCACACAAACTTAAGGAAAAATTTCTTCACTGTGAGGGTGCCAGAGCCCTGGGACAGGCTGCCCAGAGAGGGTGTGGAGTCTCCTTCTCTGGAGATGTTCAAACCCACCTGGACACTTTCCTGTGCAACCTGCTGTAGGGAACCTGCTTTGGCAGGGGGGTTGGACTGGATGATCTCCTGAGGTCCCTTCCAACCCCACGAGTCTGTGATTCTTGCAGGCCACCAAACAGCTCTGAAGGACCATAATACAACTGCAACTCACTGGTCAAGCTGGCACAGGCTTCTTTACCCCAGGAGTCTGCAGCCCTGGTGGTTCCCCCACCCCTCAGTGAGCCTCTGCACAGATGAGAACTACAGGAGAGTGACCTGGAGAGCAAGAGGTCCCGTCTTACCCAGGACAAAGGCATCTCTGTGTGGGACCTTCTGTGGCTTGAAGATGGAGAGGAAGTTCTCGAAGTAGAACGGCAGTCGGATGGTCGTGGTGGGAACACCGATTTTCTGGAAGTACTCCTGCACCACACCTTTGCCATCGAAGTGGAGCACCTCCAGCCGGCCCCCCGTCAGCTGCTTCACGTTCTCCAGGCCGCTGTACACGACGTGGCGCAGCCCGAGGCGCTTCGACAGGTCAGCAAGCCGCTTTCCCTGGGGGAGGGGTGAAGCTGGCCGTGAAGAGAGGAATGGGACATGCAGGGGCTCTCATTATCCCCATCCCCCCCACCTTTCCCCTTTGTTGCACTGGGCAGGATCCAACACACACCAGCTGAGCAAACTCCTCAGCATCTGGCACCCCGAGCCCTCAGCTGGAACCAGGGCTGAGCAGAGCCAGCGAGCCCTCCGAGTTGCCCAGGTAGAGCTGAGTCCTCTCTTACACCATCCTACCTTAGAAAGGCCACGCACACCCTCCAGCTTTGGTGCTAGCTCCTCCACCAAGCACACAAACACCACCCTGAAGAACTGCCAGGGCCAACATCCCTGCCCTAACATATCTCATCCTTTGTTTGCTGCCATGCAGGCAGGGCAATCCTGCCACCTTGCAAAACCTGTCCTGGGGTGAACACCGCCCTTGGGGCAGGACCCAGCACTCCTGATACCACAGCACATTCTGGCCCCAAAGCTGCGAGTGCAGAGAACTACAGGACTGCAGGCAGCCACTGTCCTGGCTCAGCCCTGCAAAAGCTCTGCAGAGCTGAGTCTTGCTGCTACTCTGATCCCAGGTGCTGCTCTCCACCACGAGTCCTGTGGCATTTAACAGCTCCCTGAAGGCACCGGATCCTGGAGCCACACGACTGCAAGGGAACAGGGAACAAGTTCTGGCTTTGCAAAAACTGGGACCTGGTTTGTTTGTGAGGCCTCGAGACCTCTCTGGACTGGCCTCTGGAACCATCAGGACTGGCAAGGCTGTGCTAGGAGCTGTCCCATGACCCCCACCCCGATGCCACACAGTTGTCACCTCCGTCCCCCCATCCCAGGCCAATCCACGTGCGGTCCCAGTTAAAGCAAACTCCGGTACCTGCGCGATTTCTTTCTCTTTGCTGTTGTGCTCCCAGAAGTTGGTTACAATAAAGGCTCCGTAAGCACCGGCCAAGGCCAGCTCCAGCGATCGCTCATCGTCCTGATCCGCCCTCACAACCTCCGCTCCCCTCTGCTTCAGCTCCTCGGCCTCCTTCTTCATGGGGCTCCGTGTCACTGCACGGACCTTGAAGGTCCCATCTTCTAGCAGAGCCCGGGCCACGCAGCCTCCCTGGGCCCCTGTGGGTGCAGAGCTGGTCAGAGCCCCAGCTTCCCGTAGGGCCCTGCTCATGGAGGGAACTGGGACCAACTGGGACCAACTGGGACTGTGAGACGGAGCTGCCTGACCCCACGTTCTCCCTGTGGCACAGGGACCACGTTCCTCCAACCCATCCT